TAAAAAAACGTCCTAATCAGAAATTTTACAGACATGAGACCTTTAACAGAATTTCAAATGAAGCAAAATCCCCATAACAGCTCAATTACTAAACATAAAAATACGGGTAAGACATTTGACCTTCCTGTAACTTTTCGAGTGATTAACAAACCTCTGAAGAACTTTGTTTTCAAGGTTTTAGAGGCGGCTGATGTGGAATTCAAGGTAACTACGAAAGGAGGTTGACTTAAATAAAAATTGAATCTCATTTGAGGATAAGTTACGGTTGTGAATCTCTTACGAAGTAGAGGTTTTTACCGATTAAATTTTTGTATTTTTCACGAAGGGAATTAACATGGTAAGCGCTTAAAACTATACACTCATTCTAGAAAGTCGAATCTGAAACCGATTTATCAGGATGGAAAGTTCTGTGCAAAAGCACACGGATAGAACATCTATTACAAACTGATTTGTTCTATATTTTGTTTTGTAGTACGGCAAGGCGTGATATTCGCCCAAAAATCATGCATGTGAATTCTCTTTTATATTTCCTTCACGTTGGTCTGATTTCCGGAGATTTTCCTGACGCTATTTCCGGAGAGCGAATGGGATGCTTTAAATTCAATAGCTTTCAACGCATGTCGAAGCATTGTCGACGAATCGAAACAAGACTTATTTTACATTTACGAGGACGGATTGCATTCCAAACCTTCATTCGAGCACTTTAATCAACAGTTGCATGAAGCCTCCATTAAAACCATTTTGATATCCCACCACACTCAACTAAAAAATGCTGTCAATACCAATCATGCCAAAAATTTCATATTCATTCTTAACGATGTGAGAGAGCTGATGAGCTTAATTCTTTACACAGTGCCACAACCAAGACTCTTGGAAGAAAACGGGGAAAACACGACAAATCTCAAAAACGAGACAACGAGAAAAGACAATCAGTCGAAAGATATTTTACCTCTGTACTGCATGACTGTAGATGTGCGCTCATTGTGGACGCAAGGGGAAAGAACATGCAGTAAAGAGTTGAGACTATCATCAGCCGAATTGGAGCCCAATTCGATTCTAAGCGATTGAGTGTTTAATGAAACTCGAGGTTTGTACATCAACAAAATTTGGAATTCTAAGAATTATCTGGTATTCATCATAAAAAATTTCGATCCGATTTACAAACACCCGGCATATACAGCACCATTAAATATAGGAATAGGGAATGGAATGCAAAAGTACACTGTGGATACAGACCCGGTCGCTGGGCTGGTATTCTGTTTCAAATTTTTTTGGCGCTTCTTTAAAGGACTAAAATCAGTCATTTGCCACTCGCAGGGTTGTGAAAGATATGATCCCATCATGGAAAAACTCATCTCAACAAAAAGTCAGACCGATCGATGTTTTTTCGACTTTTCCTGGAGCGATATGCACAGAAAATCAATCAGCACATACAACACTTTTGAAGAAAGTCATGATTTTAAGATTATTTCGTCTTCATTCTCAACCTTTGGGGCTTTGGCGCACGACGCAATATTGAATGACTTAAAACGTGTTGTAAATTGCACATTGAAATACCCATCATATACGGAATACTTTGCAGACCAATTCAACAGCCACGGTACTGAAGCAGGCTTGAGATTCGACATTGACTTGCAGCCGTTTGAGTACGGACTAAGTTTAGAGGGAGCTAATTACTCCAGGTATGGTTTTTCAGTCAGCCTTGATACGAGATCTCTGTGCTTTGCAACTCCTCATAGTGGCTTTATGTCACAAGGTCTGGTGATTTTCAAAAGCTTTTCGCCAATCGTATGGACACTCATTGTTCTTACGATTGTTAGTTTCTGGATCATTCTGGGCACTTTCCATTATTTACAATGCAAAGTATTTTACTTCTTCTACCCAGACGCAGAAGTTGAATTTTACAGAAACTCATCTTCTCTGTTCACTGTTTACGCGTACTTCATGTGTGGTAGCCCAGCAAACCTACGCCTGGGCCATCTTTTGACTGGAAAAGCCCTCTTCGTAATTTTCAGTTTTTCTGCAATCATATTAACTAATGCTTTTTTGGGTTGCATGACAACGCTTCTCAGCAAGAGAGTTCTGTATCCGGAATTAGATTCACTGAAAGCCTTGGAGGAATCTGATTTGCTCGTTCAAATAATCTATGATGATGTTTCAACAGAAAAGGAAATGTTTTCTCAGCAAAACCATTCCGAGGTGCTTGGTGCCAAATTGGTGACTAATTTATACGCTTACTCTCAAGCGAAATTCGGGGAATTTATTCGTCATTATTTTAATTTCTACCAGGACGATGAGTCTTCCGCAGATTATAACTTCACTAAAAATCGCATCATGGAGATTAAAAAGAATATTCTTTCTATGGCTGCGATGGATGCCATGATGATCAGTGTACCGTTCTCTTCCATGCGCAAGGAAAATGTCCGTATAAATCATGAATTTCACGTAAATATTGAGTATCATCTGATGCAAGAGTGCCTCATTACGTATCCGGTAATGATTCCATTCCTGAAAAATTCTTTTCTCTATGATAAATTGAATCGAATAATTTATCAAAATCTAGAAACTGGGCACATGAGAAGAATGCTGGAGATATAAGATTCCTACGTAATGACATTTGCATCGGACGACACTGTTGCAGAGGGTGGTGAGCCAAAGCCATATGATCTAAACGATTTGCAGTCAGCTTTTAGAGGGCTCATTCTTGGTTTATTTGCGAGTTTTCTCACATTTTTAGGAGAAATTTTCACTGACTTGTATCCAAACGCTGTAATCCTGAAATATTTGAAAAGTTTAAAATTTTTCTAGTCACGGAAGGTGAGAATGGACAAAGTGTAATCTAAGTTATAATCATGTTTATCAATGATAAAAAGCGGCTCTACTCTTGTAACTTAGACGAGGAAAAAAACTCAAAAATGGCCCGAACTGTAGGTAACAAGGTTGAGAAATGGTGCTGGGTCCACACTATTTCGCGGGGAATACAAAGCCAAGAAATTCCAAAAAAAAAAAAAAAAAAAATTACTTCGAGTCAAAAATGTTTTTGCTCCAATAGTACCAGTACAAGAGTGAGACGGAAAAAAGACTAATTAACCGATTCCAGTTTCGCTTAGAATGACTCCACTTCGGAATTTCAAGTGGAAAATTAGGCAAAAACTGTCGTTGTGCCTAACTTTCGTGATTATAGCCTTCCAATTAGTAGCCGGGGAAAGTATCGTAATTATTTGAGAGCATCAAGCGCTTGGAAATAAGTTCAAGACTTACGAATGGAACACTATTCTGTCGGAAGAAATTTAGGAAGGTCTGTGGTTTTTCGGGTGTTTGAAGCAAAGAAGGTTTTTAAGAAAAAAAGAAAAAACAAGCAGTGAACTCCAACACACTGTGCTGATAAGGCGCGTCATTGACTCGTACGTGTCAACCTGATTAGTTTTCATCTGCAAGGATTCCTCTTAGATAGTACAATATTAGTGAAAAGATTAAAAAGGTGGGAGACCTTTGAACTCCTATCAATATTTACTTTGTAAGCAGTCTGTAAGATATGAATAAAGTGCGAAAGGAAGATTGTGAAACAATTAGACTAAAAACCTTCATGTATTAATATCTCAAAAAAAGAAGGCAGATAATTTTACAATTCCTGTTTTTTTAGATAATCATAGTATTATCTAACGTTACCCTGTAAATTTAATGCAATTCTTTTAGTTTTAGTTTTAAACCATGTAGATAGATACAAGGAAATACCTGTAGTAGTTACGTTATATTTAAATAAAGTTCCTTAAAAAAAAAATCTACAGAGATTTAATATTGATAAGCAGCACATCAAGGGAATTCACGATCCACCCAACTTTGCGAAGTCAACCACGCACCTCGACGAAAACGTGTACTGTTAACGTAGACAGCCATTCGAACGAATTCAAAACTTTTTTGACCTGTCACAGGCAAAAACTTATCAGCTTTTTAAATGACACTGTTTCCTGAGTAATTTAAGCAAAAAAAGAAAAAAATCGGTCTAGCTCCTGGAAACGGAAGTCGAATTAGAGGTATTTTGGGGCTGTAGTAGCGAAATTTCCGGTAGTAAATCCCGTTGTAGTAATGAAAAGAATTGACTCTAAATAAATCCAATTTTGCATCAAATTCCTCTTGATACTGCCATTTTCAGCATTTTTCCATGCATAAAAGTTCAGCCATGTGTCCGATGTTTCATTCATTCGTGAATAGAAAAGTAAGCAATTTACATCCCGAAGATCCTCCGATTTGCCGTAAAAAATCGCAGGAAGTCTATATACCAGGTCAATATATGCACTCGTTGACTTTACAAATCAATTCCATGAGTGCAAATATGTGAAAATCAACATGCTTTCGTCACTTTGGAGGGCAGTTACTTTTTGAAAATCGATGATAACTAATTGCGATCCCAAAAAACGATCGAATTTCCGGAAAAGATCGAAAAAAATCGAAGTAACAAATCGGAATATGTCGACTCCCTGACGGAAAATTTAACCCTACGTTTAATAATACTTACGTCGCGATGTGTTGAACTGGGAACATGCGTGAACAACGATTAGAAGCCCTCCACAACGCATCAGTTCAACAAGAAAAAACGGGGAGTTTGAATTTATCTAAAAATCAAACATCTAGATAATGTAAATCAATACTGTAGACTGAATTCTGCGCATTCTTTTACTTTATTTTAAGACGGAGGAAAAAAGAAAAAAGAAAAAAAAAAAAAAAAAAAAAATTTGCCGTAAAATATAGCTTTTCATCATTCTATTGCCAGGCTATAAATCTAGAAACATCTTCTTCAGAAATTTTAAAGAATCCCTATACACAACATGAAGAACGTACCATAAAAAGAATGTCACAAACTAAAAGATTAAGCACCCGCGAGGATCGGCTAGAAAGTACAATAGAGGACCCTGCTCTCACACGAGTGAGGAAGCGCCTTCAACGCCTCCCGTATCACACAATGCTCAGCCGCCATGCAATTCATAATGCGCCCACGTCGTGTTTCTGCCTAGTTCCTCTTTTGAAGGCGTTTCGGCGTTCGGCACACGCTCATGAATTATTATTGGAATGACGGTTCTCATTGCAGGTAACGACATGGCTTCTAACTGCTTGGTCTTGGATTGTCCAGAGTATGATACCTTGCTGTCGCTTCAACCGCATTCGTCCTTCGACTACTACAGTTTATATTCGCGACCAATACGTAAGTATGAGCACTATTAATCCCATTGGTGATATCTTTTCAGAAAGATGTGAGTTTTTACTTTCGGGAGAGATAGTTCTAACTTTAGCCGCACTGGGGGAAAAACAAATTGGATCTTGAGTCCAGACTCATGAAAACATTGACAAGAAAAAGGACTCTCGATTCAATCAGATTTAAGCTTAGATCAAAAGTAAATCCGCTCAAATTAAGAGGCTTGGTTCTTGATTTAAGCTTAAATCTGATTGAATCAAGAGTATTTTTTCTTGTCGATGTTTTTAAGAGTTTGGACTCCAGATCAATGCGTTTTTTTTTTTTTTTTTTTTTTTTTTTTTTTTTTTGTTTTTTTATGAGCGGGAACGCTGAGTTCACGGGTCAAGAAACATTAATTGGACCGCGTTTGGCAGAAAGTAACTAAGCCACATCAGCTTTTGCTAAAATTAACTGGGTCGTTATTTTCTTACAAGTAGTTACAAGAGAACGTTTGTGTAGATTTTTTTTTGAAAATTTTAAGGAATTTGCCTCGTACTTCGCGGAAAATTCCCTGAACTTCGCACAAAAATCCGCACAATCGTTTTCATGTAAAAAATTAAATTTCCCCATTAAAGTTGGCGACAACTGATGAGGCTTGGTTCCTTTTTACTTAACGCGGTCCAAATGTCTCAGTCACGAGTTAATTCTAGTAATTTTCGTCGTCCAGATTCTTTCCTACGTCAAACTATAAGAAGAAACCATAAGCGAATTTTCGCGATCATTCACCGTTGAATGATATTCGACGATTGTGCATTTTATCAAAAATGATATTCGACTTCTTCGTTGCTCTCAACTGAGACCGTTGAAATCCATCAATTTGAAATATGAAATTCACCTCGGGACTAGAATTTGATTTTAGAACTGATGCAATCGATGCCAGAAACTTCATCCTTCACCAGAATTTTTGTTTCGCCAATTCTTTGTTTTTGTGTTTGGTCGATTCAAGTCTGGTGTTTTGGCAATTTGCTGTGTTTTAGTGTTCCGCTTTTTCTCATTTTCTTCTCAATTTCATTTAAAAGCCGACTGCTCACACAGCAAATAGGGACCTGCAAGTGGCACATCGGTGCCGCTGTGTCGAGTGTTGATAGTGCACAGTATACAGAGTTATTCAAAAGTCACGCACCACTGGTCATGACTTTAGTTCTAATTATGATATCGATTTGCGGTTTAAGACGTGTTTCCTCCTATCGAAGGGGAAACTTTTTTAGGTACTTTCCGGTTTTTGATCCCCTCAAATGCGGGGAGGGGCAACTCAACAATTTCAAATGGCCACAACCCTCATGGCCAGTGGTGCGTAACTGTTGAATAACCCTGTATATGCGCGGGCCGCGCTCACCCATGTAACCGATGAGCCACTTGCAGGTCCCCATTTGCTGTGTGTGCAGTCGGCTAAAAAAAAATCCGAACTCTGATTGGCTCCTGCTATCACCGATCATCGGCATCACTCAGCATTGATCAATTCTTTTGATGAATGATATTCGATCGCCAAAAATTCGCTTCATGCATCAGAATTCTTTAATTCGTATCTTGTCTACACTGGGGGAAAAAAACACATTGGATCTAGAGTCCAAACTCTTGAAAACATCGACAAGCAAAAATACTCTTGATTCAATCGGATTTTGGCTTGAATCAAAAGGAAATCCGCTTAAATTAAGAGGCTTGGTTCTTGATTTAAACTAGATTCTGATTGAATCAAGAGTACTTTTTCTTGTCGATGTTTTTAAGAGTCTGGACTCTAGATCCAATGTGTTTTTTTTCCAGTGTACTGGTCCATTGCGCTATTTGATAATGGTTCCTGCTTCTATTTGTATGTTTCGCTTGCGCTATTTGATAATGGTTCCTGCTTCTATTTGTATGTTTCGCTTGCGCTATTTGATAATGGTTCCTGCTTCTATTTGTATGTTTCGCTTGCGCTATTTGATAATGGTTCCTGCTTCTATTTGTATGTTTCGCTTGCGCNGTCGAGTATTTAACCGGGATTTAAATAATAATTGCACTCAATTGGCAATTGGACACATTATTTTAACTAAACAAACATGAACAATGTAGTAATGAATAAAATATCGCACATTTCGTTTTCACTTCTTCTTCTCTCAGTGGGTCCTAGGGGTACAAGTACCATACTTGGTTTTGGGAAAAATATTGATTAACTCAATATTTTTCCCAACTTCGTAAGTGGGATTTTTCCCTGGGACAAATCTCGTGAAACGGCTCGTGGAGACAAGGCCTTATATTGGTATGTTTCTCTTCCAGCCGAGGAGAACACGACGTGCATTCCTGGCGTGGGTATGGTTTANTCTATTTGTATGTTTCGCTTGCGCTATTTGATAATGGTTCCTGCTTCTATTTGTATGTTTCGCTTCCAGCCGAGGAGAACACGACGTGCATTCCTGGCGTGGGTATGGTTTACTTGCACCGAGGCAAAGTCAACTACTCCGAGGCGGTGGATCTCTGCGAGAACAAGGGAGGCAGATTGGCCAGCGTCGTCTCCGAGAGTCGAACCAACGGCCTCTCTAGACTGGTCGCCACGCTCGGCACCCAGAACAAACTGACCGTCGCCTACGTTGGCCTCGCCGACACCAAAGTCGAGGGCCAATTCATTAGCTCAAAGAGTAAGAATCCTTTTTATTAGGCCTCTTCAGGGCTGCCACAGAATTTGGAAAGTCAAATTCCCTGACATTTCCCTGAAACATGTTGGTGAAATTCCCCAACAAGTGAAGATGTGACGGATGGTTAAGAAGGCATAATTGAAAATATTTTTCAGGCAAAATTTCTTGCTCAAAATCTCAAACCCATTCTAGAAAGCAAATGAAAGTGGTATAAAAAATTTTCCCCGACATTTCCCGGTTTTCCTTGACTGTGGAAACCCTGTCACTTCTGACGCTTGAGTCTTTTTCAAAATGACTGTTTCAATTGAAATCTTTAAAATCCGTCTAAACGTCTCGAGTAGGGTTTTTCGTCACTTTCTGCACAAGATTTTAACTAATTGGGCAAAAATAGATCAACAACATTTAGTTCTCTTAAAGGTGTGTGCACAAATGTTAGGCAATATTTCCTGAAGATTCATGGGGAATGGGAGTGTTATCATCGTTATGTGTATAATTACAAGATGAACTACAGTATGTATGAAAGTCTTTGTAAAACCTATTCAGGTGACATGAATGAATATGAGACAATCATTAAAGACCTAGAAGAAAATGACAAAAATAAAGAGCGGCCAAAGAAGATAAAGAAAAACCCACTGGCACCCACGATGATTCTAGCTGGTTGGTCTAACAACCCGTATAAACCGCCTGAAAAGGTTCTCTTTTATTTTGATTCTGTCTACCTTTTGTAATGTACAAGAAATATTGGTATAATCAAAAAGATCCCGACCAAACATTCCTCTATCCATCCTTCGATGACACTAGATTAATTCTTCGTGCCAAGGTGAAAGACGTGAAGACACTTTACTTTTCTGACTCTTCCAAAATTGTGAAGCTTGTACCGCAACCATGTCTCAAGAAGTACTTATTCCCTCCAACTTTGAACGTCAAAATGCCCTACTGGCTTGTCACATGTTTGAGGAGAAAACCCAAGAGGCACCCCTAAGTCATTTTCCCTCAGACGAGCCGTGTAATGGAGCTCCTAAGTTTTGCCGAATTGTTTATTCCTGGTGGAAAATGTTTAATGAGAGATCACCCAGGCGAGGGTACAATTTACGAGACCTTATTCGTGCTAAGTTTCAATATTAAGAATAGGAATATTGATTTTACGCATGAATTCCTTGCTTGGATGCAGGAGTGGAGAAGTTTAAAGAGAGACAAAGATCCCAAGATCCACACGGGAAAAAAATTGACTGATGTCACTTTTCGATCTTTGATTCATTCGGTCAGGACTATTCTCCAAATTATCGAGTACGTGATTGCAAAGTTTCAGCCAGATTACATACTCCTCGGCAAATTTCAAACTGACAGAATTGAAGATGTTCGCGTTGTTTCATTATCCTGCACTGAAAGTAACATCCCCCCGTTGAAGTGCCAAACGGCAAACCTGGGCTCTCCTCACGTAGTTGATAGAGCGTTGTTGGCGCCTCTGTACTGTTATTTTGTATTTGAATATTTTGTTATAGGTAATAGTTGAGTTTTTTATTACTGCTTTTTTGTCTCTAGCTCCTTTTGTCTTCTTCTAGTTATTTTCTGTATCGAATTAATCATCTGTATTTAAAGCTTGCTTATTGAGGAATAAAAAAAATGTATGTTATGAATGGTCCTCAATGAATTCACTCTCGCTAGAATTTACAATACTTCTTTCCTAAGGTTAGTTGAGGGGCTTAGAAGACAAGACGCATAAGTGCAGTATTTGCTATTTCGAGAACTGAATTAATAGGCCCGTTTAGAATCCTATAAGAATTAATTATTAATTAACGCGCGGTAATATTCAGAGCTCTGAGGTTTAGAGAAGGTTGATCAAAACGGTTTTGGCTGTTTTCCCTAAATTCTCACTTCAAAGTTGCCACAAAATTTAGAAAATGAAATTCCCTGACGTTTCCCTGATACATTTTGGGTGGAAATCCGTGACAATTGAAGATGTGACGGATGGTTAAGAAGGAATAATTGAAAATAGTTTTCAGGCATTTGTTGTTCGAAACCTCAAACACATTCTAGAAAGCAAATGAAGGTGATTTGACACATTTTCTCTGAAATTTCCGGGTTTTCCCTGACGTTATGAAATTCCCTGACTGTGGAAACCCTGTCATTTCTGGCGCTTAAGTCTTTTTCGAAATGAGTGTTTCGATTGAGATCTTTCAAATCCGCCCATGACTTTTCTTTAAGACAATAGAATGAGAATCATCACGTTTTCTGATATCATTAACGACTTCTGTCCCTGCAGACGAGCCGTTGAGGTGCTTCCCGTACCGAGCGTGGGCCCCGAGCGAGCCGCGACACAAGAAATCTCGGGAGGACTGCGCGGTCATCGATTCGCGCAACAGCTGGCGGGTCGTCGACTGCAAGTCCAAACATCCCTTCCTCTGCGAGCTCACCCCTTCGGGACCACTCCAAGACGACGTCCAGGCTTGCTACCGACTTGCAGACATCAGTAAGATCAAATATTATTTCAGACCGAAGAAAATATAGTTAGAAGACCCCGCATAAAACAGTTAAACAGGGTAATCGGAGCAGGCAACGATTAAGAGCGGAGAATTATTGCCAGATGGTGCTGAAAAATTAGCCATTTCATCCATTTAAACATATGTTATATATCCATATTTCGGGTGAGGCAACAGGTGAGCGCGGAGCATTGTTGTCAGATAGTGCTGAAAATCACTTTTCCACACTTGGTCACATATTAAAATTCTGAAGTTGCTAACGTGTAACATCTTCGTAGTGGCACTTGGTAAAGTTGTAGTTTTGGAAAAACTTCGATTTGTATAACCAATAATTAAACAACTTTCTAGGGTTACCCCAAAACAACAAACAAATATAAAACAACAGATGCTGATACGGCTTAATGTTGGTGCAACAATGGGGGATTTGCACGATAAATATTTATTGCTGCATCTGAAAGTGCTTAATGAGCTGAGTCCACGGTATTTTTCAAATTGTGTGAAAGTAGGTGGGGGAGAGGGAGGGCGAGGGTGTGTTTTTTTTTCAGAATTTTTCTTTTAATGGAACATTGTAGAAAAATAGATTTTAAAGTGAGGAAGTATACCGCCTTGTGAAGTCATTTGTCTCCCATTGAAACACATGTATTTTAGTGGATAGATAATTCTTCATATCTTCGCCAATACTTGTTCAATGTAGAAATCGAGGAAATTCTCATTTTCAACAGCCTGATTGTTGAAACTGTAACTGGCTTTGTCGGTAAGATATTTAAAATTCATTAATTCAACAATAAGCGAGAGCAGAGCCATCAAAGATAGAATAGGTTGAATATCGCGAGGATGACGTAGCCACTAAATCAGTCCGTAACGCAGTCAATTTCGCGGGGTTTCGCGTTCTGGTTTCTGGCGCGTAAAAAATCGAAGGTGGCCGTCGGGCAACTCCGCCCCGGCGCGATCTATTATTTTACAATTCCCCCGGTCGGTGCCGGTGTGGGTCGGAAGGTGTTGTAAAGTATACCCCGCCGCCGAGTTGCACCAATTACGGTGGACACATTTTCGCTCGGCCCGACACCCGGAGTAAGGGAGCAGCAACGGTTTCGCGACGGAATATATTATTCATGGAAAAAATGACAGAGATTTATGCCAACGCCACGGAGAGCCCGCGCGCGTTAGGCGATGTTGCCACTACAGAGTCGCCTTAAAAAATAGTATCGTGAAACACCTAGCAGAAAGTAGAGTCCCTTTGTACTGAGAGTCAAGACATAGTGGATCTATTTCTGATTGGTTCGCGTATTTTAGGCCTCCACGGTGTCACAGACGGGAATAAAGCTTACATTCTCATTAGCTGCAAAGATCATAATCTAGAATGGACCGAGGAATTACGGGTTCGACAAGGGACAAACGGAATGAGAGAAGGAACGGAAAAAGGAATTTGAGAATGGGCCGATCAAAGATTACGAAAAACGTTCAATTCGTGTAATCTTTATTCCCATTTGTGACTCCATAAGGATGTGTTGTCTTAACTCTCAGTATAAAGGGACTCCAGCAGAAAGTAGAATGCGTTTCTAACTCTGCTGATGGGCTCATCATCGTGATTTTAGATCCATCTTCCGTAAGAAGCTATACCCCAGTCTGCTTCAGCTGGAGTTTACAGCAGTGGCGTGGCGTGAATTGCGATGTATCGATTGTTATGCCATTTAAACCTATGGTAAAGAATCGATTATTGAGGTGTTCGCTGCGGACACCCTGTTAATCGATCCTTTTCCATAGGTTTAAATGGTATAACAATCGATATATCGCAAAGCACGCCACGCCACTGGTTTGCAGCAGGCCCGCACTTGAGAAACGATCGGCGATCCTCTCGCAAGACAACGCGTTGACGAGGTACGCACCTACCGCGGCAACGACGCGACAATTGACGTTGACGTGTCGGTTCGCGTCGAACGCCTTGCCGCGCGCCGCGCCGCCGTGACAAGTACAGAGGAACAGCTGAACTATGATGGACTAGCGCGAGCCCGTTGCGCGACAAGGTACAACAACTCATGTCTCATGCTCGTTTCCTCGGACTCGGACGCGCGCCGCACCGCGAGTATGACGCGAGTCCATCCTCGACACGACACGGCGACGCAGGGGGCGATTTATCTCCACCGCACCACCTGCTCCCATGCGAATCACCGCCAGTGCCAGATCATCGCAATTAAAGAAGTGGATCACTCACTAGAATAAAAACCGTGTAGATATTTTCCCACCGAATATTTTTTATTTATTTATTTATTTTTTTTTATACTACTGCAAATACCACACAAGTGGTAATCCTTGCGCTTCCAGTTAGAGCCCTCCCCCCTCCGTCCCCACCATGTACCAGCCCAAGGTAACCGTTGTTTGAGACCATCAAACTCGGGTCGCCTAGCCGGGAATCAAACCCGGGTCCTCCTGATTGTAGAGCCAGCGCTACAACCACTATACCACAGGAGACCGACAATTTGGACAATTTGGTACGCAATTTAATTTAATTATTACACTGGGAGAAAAAAACACATTTAAAACCATCGACAAGAAAAGTATTCATGATTCAATCAGAATTTAGCTTAAATCAAGAACCAAGCCTCTTAATTTAAGCGGATTTCGTTTTGATTCAAGCGAAAGTCCGATTGAATCAAGGGTATTTTTTCTTCTCAATGTTTTCAAGAGTCTGGACTCTAGATTCAATGTGTTTTTCTTTTTCCAGTGCTGGACAAGAAATTAATAGGCCTGTTACAAACTTTCGCCAGCGCAAAAAGAAGAGTTGCTTCTATCAGTAAATGTCTCAAAAATCACGATGAGCGCATTGGCAAAGTATTAAGGGCACTCCTAACTTCACAATCTGCGTAGGAAATTAGCGTTTTATTGAGCTTCCTGCCTTAGAAACGATACTTCGATATAGGTCAACATTTCGGAGGAGGAATCGCTCAGTAAAACCGCTGACACTGGGATGCTGCACAGTAATCAACATAAGACTAATGCTTCCACGCGCAAATCGTGAGGAAGCGCCGTATAGTCCGAAAGCCCGACGAGTTTTTGTGATAAACAGATAGGGTTGCCACAAAATTTAGGAATTTAGATTCCCTGATTTTCCTGGTACAGTTGACTAAAATTCCCTTCTACCTGTAAATATCTCAAAAATCACGATGCGCGCATTGGCAAAGTTGGAGATGCACTCCTAACTTCACAATATGCGCCGGAGATTTCGTTTTCTTGAGCTTCCCGCTTCAAAAAAGATACTACGACACATGTGAACATTTCGTTTGAGGTGTCATTCTATCCAACCCCTGTGCATTGTAGTATGCACACTAATTTCAACATGGCCGACATCAATCCGCCAAAACTTTAGTGCCTGGCCGAGATTCTAACCATTTCCTAACAACTCAGCGTGTTTACATATTCACGAGTTCTTTGCGTTGATAAAGATCAGATTTGGTTGACCTTGTGCTCCCGATTGTGATTTGCTCGCGGAAACGTCGGCTATGTTGGGTATTTCTATTAGGAAAGGGTTAAATGGAATGATTTCGATGACAAATGTTCACCTGTGCCGTGGTATAGTTGTTCAAGCGGTAAGGTAAAAAGACGCAAAGATGCAAGAATCAAGATGGCGGATCTTCTGTTGCAGTTAAAAAGTGCGTAAACTTAGTTGGTCTGGACTCAAACTAATTTTGAATCTTTTGAGTCCAAGAACGATTATTATAACATCTTTTTCAGGAGCGGAGAAATTCATAGTGGCGTAGAATAATGTATAGACGGATCTGGCCATTGAGGTCCACCGCGACGCATTCGGAGACTTCAACGCTGGGTTAGAACAATGTACCAGTACACTAGGTTCGAATTTAGGCATTCTGATACATATTTCCTGACCAAAATTTCATGTAGAGCACGATAAGCGCAACGACAACTCCTGAAATCTGCCCCTAGCTAGGAAATCAACGTTTTTAATTGGAATTGATTACGGAAATGTTGAAATCCCCACTTAGATGGAAAACCAGGCTTCAATGGAATTAAAACGCGCACTATAACGCACTGGAAAAAAAACACATTGGATCTAGAGTCCAGACTCTTAAAAAGATCGACAAGTGAAAATACTCTTGATCCAATCGGATTTTTGCTTAAATCAAGAACCAAGCCTCTTAATTTGAGCGGATTTCCTTTGGATTTAAGCTTAAATCTGCTTGAATCAAGAGTCCTTTTTCTTGTCAATGTTTTCAAGAGTCTGCACTCTAGATCCAATGTGGTTTTTTTTCGGTGCGGTTTTGACGGGCTTCTCAATGAGCAATTTTCCTTCCCTATCTTCTATTCTTCAAAGAAAAAACAACACGCTATAGCTGATTCAAAGCGCCTAAATTGAGAGCATTACATTCTTTTACAGCGAAGACTGTTACGGTAACGTTTAGTGTGCGATTTAACTCAAGTATATTAATGTTTATTCTTTAAGCGGGAAGTTTGAATTGATGAGTCGAGTAAAGTTGATACTTTTGACAAGAGTTTCTTTCATTAATTATCGCTCTACGAATCATTTTCTACGTGAAACTTAACTGAGAAAACAAATTAGAAGGCCTAGTTTCGCATCTTGCCTCATGGTCAATTTCTAAAACTTCACCTGATAAAACCTCAAACTTTAATGAAATTAAAACAATATTGTTCCTACATGTAATATAACTAGCATTTTCCCGAGGTCTCAAAAAAATATCACTCAGGATATGCTTTTGTTCCTCTCATTTGCAGAAATGAAAGCAATGTGTTTGGCGCGGGCAAACTACTCCGAATTCTTGTCAACGTCAGAAAATCCGGACCGATGCCAGGAACTGGAAGCTATTGGAATGGCCAATTTGAATAGAACTTTGTCAGCAGAGGGTTCACTTCACAACGCTACGATGGGAACCCAGGGAGCTACATGAAGAAATTCGAGCATGTATTTTTTTACATTTGAGAATATACACCATTTTGAATTCCTGGATTCAACGATGTTTTACTGCGAGACGTTTCATCACAGGGACATTTCTACCGTATGAACATTTGAAAGTTGCCAAATTTTCTCTCGGACAATATTCATTCTTGAGGAAATTCATGAACATTTTTCATCGAAATTTTCAGACGCACTTTAGATCAAATTTCGAACAAAATCCTCCAAAAAATCGAAAGAAAAATGTCAACTAATTAATCTCATTCTATCGCAGGGACATTTCTGCCGTGTGAACATCCGAAAGTTGCCAAATTTCCTCTCAGAAAATATTCATTCTTGAGGGAAGTCATGAACATTTTTCATTGTTTGCAGACACTTAAGATCAAATTACGAACGAAATTCCCTGAAAAATCGAAGGAAAAATGTCGACCAATTTTTCCGAAAATTCGCGATTTTTCTAAGGAAGTTTGGCAACGTGCAGAAGCTCAAAAGGAGTTTTTCCCTAGCACGTCAGATTAGAACATGGTGACTCTTCACCGCCATTCTTATACTCTTTTCGGAAAGGATTGGACGAAACCGAAGAATCTACTTCGAATGCTCCCGACAAAGCTTCCTCTTCAGTAAATCCTGGTATGATATTGACGTGTTTATGCTAAAAGGAACTATGTTACACGCAATTCCTATGCGCATAGTTCCTTTTAGCATAAATGTGTTCATATAAGCTTACCGACGATTAGATCTCTCAAACGGAACGCTAACAGGAGCTGGGTAAAAGCTGAGACGGGACTGCTAATCCAACTAGCCTGGAAGATTAGACCATTTCTGCCTATTACACGGAAACAAGTGATAGAAAACCTTTTTGATTCCATCGACAGCGGTGCAAGGAAGAACAGGATTTTAAACTTAGCCGCGCAGCGCTCAATCGAAGCAGATCCTATATTGACGGATGGGACTTCTGATTCATCCTCCGAGATCTGCCAGAAATTAAACGGAACCCTGAGATGGTCTTCAGATGACTATTGGGAATTTTGTATTTAGAGACAGCCAAAATCATTGCAGGTGTCCTGGATACATCCCTTAATATTGCGGCGATCAGCTGATCTTTCGGAATCGTTTCACTAGCGCGCTGAAAGAGGTACTGTATGTACTTGTCTCTGTGATAGGTTTGTGTAATTTGTGACTTACTTAACGAGCTGTGTGATATTTTTTAAAAAATGGAAAAACACTGTTTTAGACGCACCGTAAGCACTCCCCCCCCCCAATCTTTACACACCTTCACACACAAGATGTAAAAAATTTAATAAACTTTCCCTCGATTTTACTTTAAGGAAATTCATTATTTCAACCAGTACATGTGGGAATTTTAAGAAAAAATATACATAGCTCAACTAAAAAATATACATTGTGCAACAGGAAATTACGCAACATTTGAATCCTTTTGTGGTCTACTTGTGACGCATGTTATGGTAGGCTTCAGGGCCGGATTTAGGGGGTGGCCACATGGGCCACGGCCCATGGCGGCAAATTTTGACTTTTTTTTTAAACGTAGGTATAACAAATCGAATTCAGAAAAAAATTGCAAACGAGGAAAGACGACAAAATCTCTCATTTCCTAAGAGTATAGTAATTTCTAATTTTGACGTCTTTCGGCGATACAAGAGGCAGCACCTTTAACTAGTCAAGTTAAGAGAGAAACCAAGCACCCAATATGGCCTGTAACGGCGCGGCGCAGAGTGAAATGATGACGAGGACTTCGAGATTGAAAGGAAAAGCCCTCGGCGCGGCTGTCGGCGCGTTACACATATTAGCGCCTACAAGACTGCATGAATACTTCACGCATTGCGTCAAACACAGTGCGGTCAGCAGCGGTCGGTGGGAAACGCATGGCGCCTACAAAAGTGCATGAATACTTCACGCATTGCGCCAAATACAGTGCGGTCAGCGCGGCGCGGCAGCGGAAGTTAAAATTATTAAACCACATTTATGTTTTGCACATTTTTTTGTCCAACACGAGTAAACGTGTCTTATGCAACCCGCCTCCTCCGGCACGTTCACTTGATGGTTTTTATTAAAGTTTCAGAACGAATGAGAAGGGGGCGGCAAGTAGGTAAATCCGTCCCTGGTAGGCTTCAGAATTTTTCTGGAGGTTTAATTTTTGCAGGATCCACAATTTATTCTGGTTGAGATAGAAATTTTAAGGAAAAGCGTGCATAGTTCAAACTAAAGAATGAATAGGGTCCGACCGGTATAAAAACAACGTGCAAGTGAGTTTCGTAATGACAACTTCAAGCATTAAGTTCTCGTATGAGCCCCACCCTAACATTTGAATAAAAGAATAAATATTTGTTCAAAGGAAATTAGGCAACATTTGATTACCTATATGGTATTCAGTCGAAGCACGCCAGTAAGATAGGCAGATGGATGACTAAAATAAGCCATCTTGCTGGCTACCTTAAGAGGATCCAAGACAGCCAGATCTGGAGCCGCAAGGTGCAAAGTGCAGGGTGCACTCGATGTAGACTTGTGTAATTAATTTTTAAGGGCACCTAAAGTTACGGAACGCGTCCAGAATACTGCCGTGCTAAGGAAGAACGCCGTATGAACATTCGAGAGTTGCCAAATTTCCTTAAATTAAGTGATTATTTTGGAGGAAAGTTATGAATTTATTTGTCCTTGAAATTTGAAGGGGCCATAGGTGAAATTGCGTACAAAATTATCTGAAAAATTGGAAAGGAAATATTCATAATTTTACCAGGAAATTCATGTTTTATCGAAGGAGATTTGGCAACGCCTGAAGGTTCATACGGCGTTCTTCCTTACCACGGCAGAATGGAGGCAAAACCCGAGAAGGAGCCATTAAGTGCGACGGAGAGTAGTAAACCCCAGCCCAGGACCCTACCACCAGCGCATCCCGGTAATTATCCCTTTGAGCCACAGAGGCTATACTTTTAAGCACCCGCTCCGGGTGTAAGACCGAAACAAGTTCAATTTCTAATGAGCCATCCGGTTCACAGGAACACGTTCATTCCAGAGCTCATCACATATCAGGTTTAAGCAGCGACGATTCCGTAAAGAATTGAGTCGGCTACGTAACAAACGCGCGACCTTTACGCGATCGTACGGACGAGAGAAAGTGACGGAAATGGAAACTGGCAGCGCCCTCCCATTACGCACGGGAGAATTAGGATCAGCGACAATTAGCCGCGTGAATCAGGTTCAAGAGTTTGAGAGGCCGACTCCCGCTTTGGTTAATTAAAAGCTTTGCGTCGCGTCGATGCCTCCGTCGACGGATATGACAGCTGGAGCGACGATTTGCGGAAATTGAGGATCATGATAGACTGCAGGCGTGGAAATGTGTCGTTAATAAGTTCATGGCGTTTGTTTCAGGGTTGCTACAGAAAAAGGAATCCCTGACAAAATTAGAAAAATAGAATTCCCTGATATTTTCCTGATTTCCCTGACGTATATTAGTGAAATTCTCTGATAATTGAACAAATAACGGACTGTTAGAAAGTCATGGCTAGAAATAGTTTTCCGCCAAAATTTGTTGTTCGAAACGTCAAACTCACTCGAGAAAGCAAATAAAGTGATAATAAAGTTCTCTGACATTTCCCTGATTTATTTTGGTGAAAATTTCTGGCAATTGAACAAATGCCAGACTGTTACAAAGACACGGCTAGAGATGGTTTTCGGGCAAACTTTATTGTTCGGAACGTCAAACCCGCTAAAGAAAGCAAATGAAGGTGACTTGAAGATTTGTCGCCATTTTCGCTGACATTTCCAGGTTTACCCTGACTGAGGCAACCCTGAACGTGTTAAGCACTGCTGTTTGATTAAATCGAAGGCAGGTTTATACCGAACACTGGACTACATTTTGCAATTTGGAACTGTAAATTCTAGCCCGGTTTAAAAACAGCGTATGCGTCATTAGTTTCCCTATGCACATAAGTGTTTTTCCGGAAGAACCAGAATTTTTAGTTCCAAATTGCAAAATGCAGTCCAACTGAAGATGTGACGGATGGTTAGGAAAGCGTAATTGAAGATAGTTTTCAGGGATTTGTTGTGCAAAAGCTCAAACCCATTCTAGAAAGCAGATGAAGGTGATTTTACAAATTTTCCCTGACATCTCCCGAATTTCCATGGCTGTGGCAACCCTGAGCTCGTCAACCTGCGGTGCACTGGATAAAAAACCACATTGGATCTAGAGTCCAGACTCTTGAAAACATTGACAAGAAAAAATACCCTTGATTTAATCGGATTTTTGCTTGAATCAAAACGAAATCCGCTCAAATTAAGAGACTTGATTCTTGATTTAAGCTTAAATCTGATTGAATCAAGATATTTTTTCTTGTCGATGTTTTTAAGAGTCTGGACTCCAGATCCAATGTGTTTTTTTCCCAGGGTGGCTTAAAAACCGACAGAATATGAGCCTGTCTGCGGTGTGCTATAGGGAGCAGTTGACCGTATGGTGGTCCCGATACGTTTTGAGCGGCGCACGACAGGACGCGCGCGACGCGACGTTACGCGGCACGTGACGTTGCGATGATTCATGGACGCGCGGGCGAGAGGCGGGATCCGAGCGGCAGGTAGCGCCGTCAAGCATCGTTATAATAATGCCGCCGTGTTGCCCTATCCATCTCCCACAAGGCGCTCATCAGTCAAGCGTTTAATCGGTTTCTGAGTTACTTCTTTGCGTTTTTGGTATGCATATTGTGTTCTACGCGTCACTGGCCTTTGAAAAAATGTATTCGCGAGACAAAATTCGTTCAAAGCTTGGTGACTCATATTGGTTATTGAATATTGAATATATTGCATTTGTTTTTCCTTTTACTTGAAGCTCGATATATCATCGTGCCTCCTTACCTTTATTTGATAGCAGAGCCACAAGGGAAAAAAAAAATGCTGATTCAACAATGCAATTGATAAAAACAGTGAGTGCAATGTTTCAACGCAGATTTTACAACAAAAAAAAAACGCTACTTTAACCACCCCCGTGGTTAAATTAGTTTACAATGTAGTTAAAGTAGCATTTTTTTGTTGTAAAATCTGCG